AGCTCTTAGTAACATCAAAACAGACAAAGAAAATATGCACTGTAGTGTACTTACATTTTGTCACTATTTAACACATTAAGGGGTAATAAACACTCGCATTAAGTTTTTCTACCCTTTTGATTTATTTTAATATTAAATAGTGTGATGTACCAATGAATAATGTTCATATTCTTTAAATGTGTTTAATAAAGTTAATAAGCACTAAATGCTACCTAGTGTATTTTGTAGTGTAACTTTTACACTTACTAATATTTTTACCCCTACACTAAAAAATTTACACCGGCAAAATTTTTTACTGTGTTTATTATCATTGCTGTTGCAAAAATGGCGAATTCGCCAGGATTATCATTTTACTTTCATCTCTCAAAAATTATGGTTATGTAGGGTATATTTTGGGTTTTTATTATAGTACATATTATTTTAATCAATCATGAGAAGTAAGTAAGAACAAAGAAAAATTCAAAAAAATAAAATTTACATAAAGTTGTGTGGACCTGAATAACATAAAATCTGGTTAATATTTGGTTAAACTTAACAAATATTTGTTTACTGTGTGGGTGCAACATTTTTTTCTCCATACAATTGTGGACCGCCTCTATAAGCAAGTTAAATAAAATAGAACGTTAGTGGAATTATGTATTGCAATTGTGTCATAAATAATTATACTCGGGGATTTAAAAGGTCTCATTTGCGTAATCGACCCGTGTCCGCGGACTACAATAATAGCAGTAATAATAATAATAATTGGACAGGGGCGGGCCGTACACAACAATTGGATAATATATAATAATCGCGGCGCTAAGTGGGCTCAACGTGATGGTGCATTGCCGAATTTATCGACGCGCTCTAAACCCCGACGGCCAAATCCATATTGTAACGTTGCTGCTGGATGGCCGAGTGATAAACCGCACCACACAGGCTAGAATTACCTGATTTTAGCCTGCTGCATGCTACCGCCGTTGCAGCTACGCCATCACAGCTCTGGCCATGTTATGGCCATCAGAGCCGCCTATTCATTTGCGTTTTTTAAAAATTAATACCTACGCGCGTTTGTGATTCCGGCGCATCCGCCATTTTTTTAACAGCAACAATGGCAAAGCATTTAATTAATAACGTTATTCATTTGAAGGTTTGTAATTTTTATTTTTTTTTTGTTTTATTCTCGATATTCTGTTTTATACATTTTGGGAAATTGGGAATTTATTGACCTATTAGTAACTTTGTTGTATTCCGCGTTGTTTAACTAATTCACAAAAAGAAATTAGCTTAAAATTTGTTGATTTTATAAAAAAAAAATATTGTACATACGGCAATTTATATGAAATTTGGTCTAATAGTTACATCTATTGAGAAAGACAACAAACCGTTAAGTTTATATAAAACTTTTTAAATTTGTCTGTTTTTTTTTTAATTTTTGTAAAAATGTAAAAGGTTTTTGTTCTAGTATTTAACTCGTATTTCGTACATTTTCTAATATATCTACCTTTTTATTTGCATTTTCAAAATTATTTATGGTTTAGTTTTATTGGTCCCTATGTCCCTATATATGGTAATACTAGATGACATCCTAAATTTGAAGGCAAACTGTGAATGTAATTATAAAAAGACCGGATTTTAGACCCTTAAAAATTTGAAATTAGGCAATAAAAACCTACATTTTAGGCCGTTTTAGGCCGAAAGTGACTAAAATAGGCCTCAACCGACTAAAATAGGCGATTAAACATAACATTTATTCAGGTCCTATCAATAAAAATAAAACAAAAAATACATATGTATCTCTTAATATAAAACCTTAAAATAAAAATAATAATACAAACTCTTGCAAACAATTGCCCGAATGAATAAAGAAAATGAAAAATATTGAAATAAACAGGCGACGCTGAACAAAAAATATAAACAAATACAAACAAAAGCACGATACGTTGATTCCAATGGTTCTCAAACATATACTTACATATACTTACTGGTAAGTATATGTTTTCAAAGTTGGCTTTAGCCTTTTAGGACGATAAATCAAAATTTCGCAATTCTAGGCTTTTAGGCGAAAACAAAGGAGTGTCAAACGCTTTATTTTTTTAAGTTTAGGATTAATTTTAAGGTCCCAAACAAATGCCTAAAATAGAAACAAAAAGGCATTTTGCCTAAAATCCGGTCCTTGGTAATTATAACATTCACAGTCTCTGTCAAGATTCTCAGAACATGCTATAAAACCTCATATTGTAAATTCTTTATATTTGTTACACAATACTCTATAATCTATTATTGTATTACTGTGTTGTGTAATTCTAGTTGGTTTATCAACTATTTGGAATAGACCTGTTTCATAAAATAACTTCCTAATTTTTTTTTTATTAAAAATAACACGTGCCTCAAGACGATCTAAGTTAATTTTTTGGTATACCTAATCATGTTTTTTGGGAATTTTTTATGAAAAATAAAATTTTATTCGAAATATAAACAATTATAGAACCCAAATCGATAAAAAAATAATAGTTAATCGAAATAACAACAGACAAAAATTTTAATTCAAAATTTTTCCCAGTTGATTTGGTCTATTAAATAAAAAAATGAAGGATATTCAAATTGATATTTTTATTTTAAAACTAAATTAGTACAAACGTAATTTTAATATCTAGATTTCTTTACTCCAAGATGAAGTTATTTCATTGTTAATAATTTTTAAATTTCTAAAAAATTATAATTATAATTATTATTCCATATTTTCAGAAAAGACATGATTATACCAAAAAATTAACTTAGATCGTGTTGTTTTTAATTTAAAAAAATTCCCAGTGTTTTTTCATCAAAACAAAGCTTTTTAGAGGGCGTCGCAAAAAATTTAGTTTTTAACGACCATCCTAGTATTATTATTCCAACGATTCTCTAAAACTCTTAAGAATTGATCCCGGCCATTTTTGTAACTTTTGTATATGGTACTCTACAAGTGAAATCCCTGTAAAACAACACCCTGTTTATTTCCGATAAAAGTAGTTTTGGGGCTCGATCATTAACTATAGCAGTCTAATCAGGTAGTTTCTCTAAAAATTCTGCAGCTGAAAGCTGCAATCTATTCCCGTTGATTAATTTCATGGCTTAGGTAGCGCTAGAGCGCCAGAGGACGGCGGCAGGGAGAAGGAGGGGGCGGCGGTGTACAGGCGAGAAGCAACACGTCTCCGGCCCCAGACACAATTACAAGTCTCGGAAAACTCTTGTGAAAAGCGCCGCTGCGGCGCAGGCAAGAAAGGCGACTGCTATTGGCAGATAACGCTATCTTTTCCCATTAGAGACCGTACAATGTTTAGACTCGAGTCCCCTGCACTGTTAAACAGGTGTTAGGAGCCCTCCCCGGGGGGACATCGATGGGAGATTGGATGCGCGGGGTGGACCAAAGGTCCAACTTATCTCCTGTTTTATGTCCCATACTTACACCGGCTAGCCTACTACACGCGAATTTAATAACGGAAATAAATTCCAAGCCTATCTAAATGCAAAGTCGTTATACGTAATGGAAAAGCCTGCAAAAATATTGGCAATAGTGCACCCTATTAAAAATGCCCTATAGAACCCATATTGATCCAGATAAGGAAACTAATATGGATTTATATGGAGAACCATATAATATGTCCTATATGTCCTATATGAACGACCTCCCTATTAAAAATGCCATATAGAAACACAAAATAAAAATCTATCTGGTTCAATATAGGAATTTGAAACAGGCATTGCACTATTGAACCAGATAGAATTCCATACCTGGAAAACCATATAGAAAAGTGATTTCTATATGGATTGCCATATAGGTTCATATTGCTCTATCTGGCCCAATATGGTTTGGGTGTGAAAAAATTATTACCATATAGATCCATATTTAACCATATAGGGGAATCTATATGGTTTAATATGCAATTTTCGTTTAAATATATATACATTTTAAAATGGAATTCCATATTCAACCATATAGGGAAACCTATATGGAAAGACACATAAAACAGAAACCAGATAAATCCATATAAAAATCCCTAAGTTGTACATTTTAAAATGAAATTCCATATTAAACCATATAGATTCCAAAGTGTAAACCAGGTCGTTCCATATAGAACATATAGAACCATAAAAATCCATATTAGTTTCCTTATCTGGATCAATATGGGTTCTATAGGGCATTTTTAATAGGGCTATTAAAAATGTCATATAGAAACACAAAATAAAAATCTATCTGGTTCAATATAGGAATTTGAAACAGGCATTGCACTATTAAATCAGATAAAATTCCATACCTGGAAGTATGGTTCTATATGTCCTATATGGAACGACCTGGTTTACACTTGGGAATCTATATGGTTTAATATGGAATTTCATTTTGAAATGTACAACTTAGAAATTTTTGTATGTATTTATCTCGTTTCTGTTTTATGTGTCTTTCCCTATGGTTGAATATGGAATTCCATTTTAAAATGTATATATTTTTAAACGAAAATTGCATATTAAACCTATATGGTTAAATATGGATCTATATGGTAATAATTTTTTCACAACGAAACCATATTGGGCCAGATAGAGCAATATGAACCTATATGGCACTATATCACTTTTCTATATCGACCCATGCAACGAAGACTATAGTAACTCAAAAAACGTGGGTTTTGACTTACTATATGGCATCAACAGATTTTTTCAAGCTCTATTTGGTGGAAGATTACAGTAACTCAGACATGAAACGATAGGCAACCAGTGAACAACTTCCCTGTATATTAAGTGTAATAATCCACATTCCTACAGGAAAAAACTATATTAAGTTGAGTTACTCTAGTCTACAATCAAAACTGAGTTACAATAGTCTTCGTTGCATGGGTCGATATGATTTTCCAGGTATGGAATTCTATCTGGTTCAATAATGCAATGCCTGTTTCAAATTCCTATATTGACCCAGATAGACTTTTATTTTGTGTTTCTATATGGCATTTTTAATAGGGCACGCCAATGCTGCAATAGACAAACGTCAAAAATAGAATAAATTCTGCTGACGTTCTACAAACTTTACCCATGGATTTCTTCGGTTTAACCGGCATGGGTGCGTCCAGCCCCATCAGAGACACCATGAGACCGGACTACCAAGAACCAAGCGTGAAACCCGATCTGGCGGAAACCCTGAAAAAAGCCAACGAAGAAGGAAAACCTCTATCCGAAGTAGTGAGAGAGGCTGACGTTTACATTGGTTTCGTTGACGGGTTTTCCTACGGCTCTTATGATAGACTCACGCAGATGCGTAGTAAAGCCATATTGAAGCCAGTGGGCCCGCAGGAAATGCACGCGATTCCTGCAACAGAGTCGATGAAGTTCGGGTGGTGGTACAACGATTGCAAGTTGCCCAAATATGAGAGCGAACCGAATTGGTACAAAAGAGAGACTCAATTCGCACTCAACAGTTCGGATATGACCAAATTTGCTTCAATAAAACGTCTTTAACGAGTTTCTGTTTTGTGATTGTGTGAAAATTTCAGAGTTAGCAAAAAAATAAAGATCATTAAAACATTTTTATTCAAAATCGACTTTTTTGTTATTAGACATCTATAATAAATGAATTTCTCTGGAAAGATTGCATAGGATGGAGTACGTGCAGATGCTTGAAAAATTTCCGCGTTAAAAAATTGTGTGAGAAGAAGTATGTGTCGTCACGTCCCGTTCATTGGTTTGATCTAAGAAAATGCAGTTCGCAATCGGCGAGGTGAACTCGTCCAGGTTTGGTTGAGACAAAGGCGGAAGGAAAATCGGAAATAAATCGAAGGAAGGAGGGCGCACATGTGTCTCGGAAAGGACTCCTGATTGGAAACACCAGATGGGGTTGTATGAGGATTATTATCTCCTCATTTTGGCGTGACAGAAACATCCTGAGTTCCCTCTAATCATAAAGAGATTTGTCTACTCGAACACGACGCGTCCCGATTGATATTTTTGTTTTTGTGTCTTTTAAATTCTCTTTACCTATATTCTATTTTCCTTCAAGAGGACTATTAATACTTTAGAAGGATTCTGTTTAATTAACCTTATTATTAAAAAAAATATGCAATATATAAGTCTAAAGTTTGTAATGGTTGTTCAGAAATTTTAAAATGTAAGGTTTTTACTTGGATTACATTTTTACATTTATTTATACAAAATATCTGAATTTTCATACTTTTTTATGATTTTTATCACACGCTTTAGTTAGTAACTATGTCCACAATTCAAAAAAATTGATTTTAACCTACGATTAAGCTTTTTATCGAAAAAATCTATTTACTTAATTTTACTTAATTAAATTAACTACACCTTGGCCATTTTTATCAAGGGATTTGTCTATACCAATTAACAACAAACGCGGTATTGATATTTTTTGTTGTAATTATATATTTTTAACTCTGTATATTAAATTTTCCCCATATCGGGCTTAAATTTGGGCCCATATTAGAGCTTTACATAAATTTGCTTGAATTTAATGAAATATTAATTATTCAAATTACGGTGCGTTGTCACTTTGGTATTACAAGATTGCGGGGTCTATAAATATACATGCAAATGAAATATTTATTAATGTCAATAAATGGTGACGACGAGATTAACCGTAAAATCGCTGTTAATTGGGCGGGCGCTGCCGCGACGTTAATTAAAAACTTTGCGACTTGTACGTTGGTGGGAAACAAATTAAAAATATTCAAACAAATAAAAGTTACGTGGAAGTTTCAGGATTGTGTGACCCCCGCTTTTCGAGCCGCCATTCCTTTCCTTTCCACTCTCCTGGAACCATCAAACTTTTCAGATGTAAGATTGCGAAAGATTGTTCGTGTAGTTTTAAACAAGAGGAACGTGGTCCCAACTTTTCTTTTATCTGTTTCTTTTATCGGGGCAAAATCGGAAAATTTCAGCCTGTTTACATATAAATCTCTGCGATAAAAAAAATAAAACGAAATACATTAGACGCAGACGCCTCAGACGAAACGGATCAACGGCAACATCCACAATAACGAACTGTTTAAAGTTTAGTGTGATTGAAATTTCGTGTCAAACTTTTATCAAGAATGCTTACACTTTCTATGCATGGTTGATATTAATACTAAAGTTACATTGCTATTCCATTTTTGAACAAACTTAGTTATTTGGCTTTGTATAACTACAAGATCTGAAAAGTTGCAAAAATAGCATTACACACCTGAAGTTAATTGTCAAATTATATTAATAATAATAAATTGTACAAAGAATATACTTTACATTCGCAAAGAAAAAAGTCGATATTTTTAAATTACATTTAATTCTATTAATATCCAAATATATAATAAAAAATCTAAAATTTTAAACGTATTTAAAAAAATTGCTTTGTATCCTTTTATACACATTCTTATACTATTGAAACATAAATAACAACGTTGGCACATTTGGCGTTTTTAACTTTAAAAATATATAATCTTCCAAACATTTTTTTTTAAATAGTTATATTATTACCTTTACTTCGCAAGAAAAATTTAAATCGCGTATGTAAACGTTTTCAAGAAATGGAAAAAAAACTTATTTTAATATTTTTTTTTACTTTTTGTATAGCAGCAGCGTAAATATTTCACTGTTAGTTGATATCTAAGACATTTTAAATTTTTAATAAGTAAATACTCAACATTAAATGTTTAATTATTGTTTTTTATTAAATTTTAATAAATGGATAACGCTTATCACGTTAAAAAAGTTTTTCTGTGGTTAGTAAATTTATTTGTAAAATAACTCATTTTTAATAACTCTCTAAAAATGAATTAGTCAAAAATGACTAATTTAATAGTTATCAGTGGCTGCTTTTTCACTTGTACCATCGTTAACCATGGAATATCATGGTATCCCAAAATTTAACAGCCAATTCTTATATAAAATTGTCCCCTGAATCCGAAAATGTCGATAAAAGTTGAAAAAGTAGAAGAGTTTTTGAGATATAAATTTTCCATCTAATATGGAATTGACATTATCTCAAAAACTGCTCCACTTTCATAATTTTTGACGGTATTTTCGGATTCAGGGGCTAATTTTAGCATGATATTCCATGGTTAACCATGGTACAAGTGAAAAGGCAGCCACTAATAACTATTAAATTAGTCATTTTGACTAATTTATTTTTAGAGAGAATGCTCAAAAGGATTTAGAGGGTTCCCAAATCATTATTAATTTTTTTGAGCAGCATTAAAAATAAGTTATTTTACAAATAATTTTGTTTACCTCAGAAAAAGTTTTTCCTTCTAAAATCCGTTACCATATACATTGCAGCAAGGGGGCAGCACCAAAAAATGTGCACTCAATTCAAAAGGTCATTTATAAAAGCTGTGACCAAATTTAAATTTAAAATTTTACAATTTTGCTAATATATAGTTGCTAAAAACAAATTGATTTCACTTAGTAAAGTTCCAAATGGCGTTAAACTCAATTTTTTATAAAATATTAAACTTGAGGTACAGGAAATGACAAGAAATTTGAAAATAACCCATTTGTGTTATGCAGTTGGACGTAGTCCTAAATAATGGTCAAGTTTAATCATAGTTATGTTGAGTTTTATATATATATATATATGTATATATATATATATATATATATATATATATATATATATATATATATATTATATATATATATTAGGGTGGCCCAAAAAAATAAGAATATTTTTTTTCTCTTGTCTCTTGTGAAAATATGTTGGTTTGTCATGTTTTAAGAGCCCTGTCAACAGATCAGCTCCATTAAAAAATTTTTAGGGGTCGCTCAAGATTTTTAAAAATTTCCAAAATCGTCAAAAATTGGATTTTTTTTTATTTTAATTTTTTTTCTCGTTCCGATATTATTTTTTAATTTAAAAATAATAATGATTCTGAAAATTTCAAATGGATATTTTGATTTTTAAAGGTCGCTCAAGATTTTTTTAACTTTCAAAGTAGAGTATTTTGAATGTTTTCGAGCGACCTCTGAATATAAATACCAACGAACTTTTAGCGACCTTTAGAAATTAAAATATTGATTTGATATTTTCAAAATTTTTATTATTTTCTACCAAAAAAATAATATCGAGACAAGAAAAAAAATTAAAGTAAAACAAAAATTCAATTTTTGACGATTTTGAAAATTTAAAAAAATCTTGAGCGACCCCTAAAAATTTTTTAATCGAGCTGATATTTTGACAGGGCTCTTACAGCATGATAAACTAACATATTTTTACAAGAGACGAGAAAAAAAAAGATATTCTTTTTTTTTGGGCCACCCTAATACAAAGTAAAGCTAATAATATCATTTAAAAAAATGTTGGGAAGATTATATATATTTTTTAAGTTGAAAACGCCAAATGTACCAACGTGTAACAAAAATAAAATTATTTTCGTAAACCCTTATAACTTTTTAGGACGTCCTGTGTAATTATGTAATGTCAATTATAACTTTACGATTCATAATGGAAAAAGCACAGTAAAAAACTTTAGTATTGATTTTCTAAAATGTGCAAATTCATCCCGGCGCATTCGCCATTTTTACCACACATTACGGTGTGTGTATTTTTTTCATCAAACCTCACACCTTCCCATTGTCCGCACCTTTTAGGCTGTTAACTGGGGTGGGCCCTTATTATATCGCATATCAACACACACACCTAGCAATTCCATTCAAATAACCTTTTTCGTCCAGGCAAAGGACAAATCGTCGCAGGAAGGGAGCGGACGAATGCGGATGACATTTTTCGAATTCATCATCGTACCTTTTATATATAAAGTATAAAGTCAATATGGCTACGTACAGTTGATTTGCAGATTTCGCAGGAAGTCGTCCGTAAACTGGTCATTGTCCGGTTCATTTGTGACGCCGTTTTAACCCATTTGTCTTGTGATGTGCGCTCCCGACTCTTTACATTCGGCCCCGAGCGCTTGCTACGCTCTCTCCGAGGAAAAATGTATTCAGAGGAAAATTTCACGATGAAAGGACGCCAAATTGATTTGGGAATTTGCCTGAATTAGGTCGCAAATTTATTTTTCAACTCTCTACTTCTAGCCCTATTACTATCAAATACAATTTATAGTTTGAATTTTTCAGTTTTTCCCACTTTTTTAGGATTTGTTCTAATTTTTTTTATTAAAAAATCTGAATTTTTGGGAGTACCTTCAGGATAGTAAAAAGTAGGAAAAAACCTCGTTTGAAAAAAAAAATATAAGTTTTTCCCATTTTTTAGGATTTATTCTAATTTTTTAATTAAAAGTGGGCAAGGCTCAGTTTAAAAATTAATTTAAAAATCTGAAGTTTTGGGAGTATCTACCTTCAGGATAATTTTTTTATTATTGACGATTAGCATATCTTTTTTTTAAGTACACAGAAAAAAAATCAACTCTAACAACACTAATTAGAGTTCACACAGGTCCACACTAAATAGTGTTGTTTTATAACACTACAATTAGAGTTAATTTGTAGTGTAATTTTCCCCAAGTAAGCAAGTATGATTTAACACTATAGCACAGGATAAA